TAGTAGCAGCAGCAGCAGCAGTAGGCAGTAGTAGTAGTGGTGGCAGCAGCAGTAGCAGTAGCGGTGGTAGCAGCAGCCGCAGCCGTCGTCGTCGTCGTCTCAGTCCCAGTTGCTGTTGCAGCAGGAGCAGTGGCGGTCGTATCAGTAACAGGACTTCTAGTAGCAATGGTGTCGTGGAAGAGCAGTGCTCTTATACACTTCCGTGTGATGGTACCAGCCGTGGAAAGATTTGGATCAGGCCCTAAGCTGCCCCTTGCCCCTCGAGCTGAATCGAACGGCTGCGTTGCTGGGGGCCAGCACGAGGCAGGTCGGGGACAGGGGAGACGAATGTTTCGAGTAGGAATAAGGATGTAAGGACAGGGTTGGCGTTGATTCTTCAGTCTTCAGGGCTTCAGTCCAAGATCTACGGGCATGGTAACCAGATTAAGAGAAATTTTGCGGCTTGTGGATGAATGTTTCGACATGGCATACAGGCCCACGGTGTTCAATCATCGAAAGCCTTTTTTGCAGCCCTCGTTTGAAACGCTGCGGCCCCAAATCCCTAAAACCTGGACCCGCAATTCCCTAAACCCGGAACCCAAGCCCTTGATCCGTGCAGGTGGGAGCTGCAGGCCATGGTCGAGACTCCTTCCTTGAGCACTCTGCCCTTGGCCGGGGCCCTGGGCAGCAACCTGGGGTGGGCTCTATCTCGGATGCATGTATTTGCCGTGCTGGTGTGCCTGACGATAAGAATCTCTATGGGATCAGCAGCCATGATAACAAGTGAAGCAATGTTCATAAAGCTAAGAAGACAAGCACAATAATTAGCGCCTTTGGTCATCTTTCCTTGCCAGGTTGCAGAAGTCGTGCCCATTTCCTCCAAGCAGTATCCGGCTCCGCCAACAGACTGGGGACAAGGCGGGACTTCAACGCATGACGATGAGGCACAGACTGTGCTTCGCTAAGCCGGATGATATTGTTGTCATCGCTATGGCGTGGTTCATGGCATAAAACAATTCTGTTGCCGTGGTTGCCCCTACCGATGTCAAAAGCCCGGAGGTGATTGCTTGCAGCAGACTGACATCTACCGTTTCCGCTTTGGCCTTTGGCCCGGTCTTCTCGGTTGCTTTCGCTGGCGGTCGTCGGCCAACCTTGCTCCGAGGTCCATGTGACCGACGCCCCGTGACCTGTGCCGGGACCTGACTTCGCAGCAATAGTGGTAATCACAACCACGATTATACCAGCTCCGTTGATGACTATAGTGAAATCATGCTTGTACTAGTACTCTCAGAGACAGGAACTACCAATGCTGGCGCTAACAAAGCAACATGAGCGAATCAATAACCATGACAATGGCCTCGGAAACCATACTGCTGATGAACAGCACTTGCATTTCCCATAGCATCTGCCGCATGATATACAGTGCAGGATCTTCTCCGTGGGCAGTATCATTGACGATGATGACGATGATGATGATGATGATGACGAGACCATGAGCAACACCAGCAGTGACCATGTCAATGAGCCGCTCTTGTTTGTCTGACCAAGGCGCAGCCAGCATGTCGACTGACAGCCCTGCCGCGGCCCGAAGTTGTTGAGCGGAGGGAGGCTTCAGAAACGCGTCCCACCTCTCAGGATGGGGGTGGAACAAGGCGACGTCGATGCAGGCATGGTAGGGAAGTGCATTGGCGGCTTTGCAGACTTACGACAAGGGCTCTAAAAAGATTCGCATCGCTTTGAAGGCCTTGGATCTGCGCTGCGGGATGACCTCATGGATGTGGCTTGGACCGATGCTGAGGCCTGCAAGGATCTGTCTCCACCCTCTGCATACGGTTTAAGACACACTCGCACTTTCTCAGGATGTAGGTTTCCATTTGTCGTGGAGTCCGTGTTCCGCTAGCAAGTATCCAAAGTTCGGCCACCCGTGCATGTCCATTAGAAGTCGGTTCCAAACGAGAATGCAATCCGGAGAAGAGAAGAAGAATGATCCGTGCTATCATGATGAGCATTTCTAGCTAATAGTAAGACTTGTGACTTAGACATGAACCCGAAGCAGCATCAACCTTTCAGCTGTGGTTGTTTCAGCCAGGTACTCAGTTCTGACATGCAGGGGGAGGTCCTCTGCGACATGGAGTCGGCGCTTCGCCGGGCTCTCAAAGGTCCTAAGGCTCGGCTTACAAGTCCAGACCCCGGAAATCCTGGAAGGGCCGTTCGGTTACGGTACCCTTCTAGGCGGCAGTCCCACAAGGAGATTTAGAAATGATTCCCGAAGCTGCCTGTGATCTAGAACTGTGGCCAGAACTGCGAGCGAACCTCGTCGCCAATCTATGTTTGCTTCGACTGAGGAACCGCAACAGGCTAAATCCCCCTAGAGCTGTAACACCAAACCGTTCAACTTCTAAACCTCCAAACAAGTAGTCCCTAATTCCCTAAACAGGCCAGCAAAACAGGTTCAGGGGTCAGAAAAATATGTTCAGGGGCGAGAGAAACAGGTTTAGGGGTTAACAAAAGAAGGGTCAGACAGAAAATTGGGGTTTAAAAGAAGGACGCGGAAAGCAGGCGTTGCTTGCCGATGTACCCCGGAACAGTTGGGCCAATTCGAGAGTAGACAGCGGGCCAAGCAAGAGCTGGGGCCACCTCGCGCGGGAACAATTTCTGTCACTGCTGTGGAGCTGCAGGTAGCCGCCTATGCCTTCATCCTTCATGACCTCGGCGAGTCGGAGCAAGTGCCTGTAGACCGGCATATTCGTATTGCAGGATGCAGCATTCGCTCAAGACCGGGTATGATCGGTCTAGACTTGCCCGCGCGTATGGTGCGAGGAACACCGAGTGGGGTTCCGGTCGTGGACGGGACAGCATGACAAAGCCAAAGAACAGCAGAATGACACAGAAACAGGCATGGACGAACAGACGCAGGCCAACTCAGTTTCGGACTCGATTGCGACGCCAAGAAGTTTTTGCAGAACTGCGTACGACCCCTTCCGCGTGTGCGGATAGTCGTCGCAAGACAAGCCGATGGAAAAAAATTTCTTCCGTGATGCTTCGATCCCCTTTCGCGTAGTCTTTATGGAGTTGCCAAATCTGTCGCTGGAGATCCTGGCTACAGTAGTGCTGAAGAGCCCCTGCACGCATGGCAGTCGGTAAGGGCGTGAAGCTTTGGACGACCTTTGTCCCGGGCCCTCTGGTCAAAGTGACTTGTTCACTGCACTCCAAAAACACAAGAGTCACACTCGTATACTGGTTGTTAAGGATGCTCTGCTTGCCGTCGATTGCCAGCTTTATGACCTCAAGGCAGACGGAGCAAGGTAGCGGCGCGGACAAGGCAGGGCAGCGCTTCGGAGTTGATTCCGCGCGTGCTGGTTGGGAACGGGCTGCCCAGGTCGATAGCACAAAGCATTCGTTGCCCTGTGATATGGTCTGAGGACATCATCGCAACAAGAAGAACATCGCATTCAAGCAGTTGGACCACATCATCAGCATGAGCCGAGTTCATGCTGGCATGGTTTGGTGAAGTCGGAGGCACGTACAGCCCCGACAAAATTTTCAGCCGAGTGCAGAAGCTTTATGCTGAGCAGTGGTGCGAGAAATTTCGTTGGGATCAGGCCCGAAACTTTCTGACATGGCTTGAGAGAACGACTGAAGACGTTCTCAACAGCCAAACACTTTGCATCGCTGGGCGTTCGCCCGTTGATTCCTGGGCCAACCGCGAAAAAAAACTTTCTGGCCAGCCGACTCACTTCAGACTTTGGCGTCGTACCGACCCGAAGACGGATTGCTCGCAGACCGCATGACGTCTTTTTGGGTATTACGTGCAGTGAAACATTTCCCCACGGACCTGATGCCGACAGAGTCTGTCGCCTCGCAGGCAATCGCAGAGATCGTGGTCGACCTCATGCAGAAGGAGGGCCATGCGCTGGAAGCTGCTATGCAGGGAGAAGGAGGGACCTGAAGTGAATGTATACAAATTCGAGCTGTGCTCACGGAGACGCTCTGCATGGTGCTGCAGGGAGACTCATGAAATTCTTTGTGGCCCCGTGTTCGGTGCTGGTTTCACAGGCTGATGCCTTCGGCTCCCTGCGCTTACATGGATATCTTGCAGCACGCAGACTGCGAGCACGTGGTGTTTAGTAAAGCATTAGGAAGTATCCCAGCTCTCGAAGGGTAGGTCGTGGCTTCGGCGTTTTGAACACTGCATGCCGAAGCGAGCAAAGCCAGTGTGTGCAAGTAAGATGCACTACGTAACGTAGAGGTGGCGTTGGTGGCGGAAGAATCAGCCCTGGCGCCAGCAGCGCTGAAGTTCGCAACCCGTGGCACCGACCTTTACCGAGGAGACCTAGAAGGGAGCGCAATGGGCAAACGTCGCAACAGTGCTTGTACAGGTGGTCTGTAATGGTGTCTCACTGTTGTCATCATCACGCACACGCAACCAAGGTTGACCTGTTGAACAGTTGTGACGGTGGTGGCATGAGGCGTCTTTGATTAAGCTAACGGCATGGCTGTTAGCTATCAGCCAATGTATCGGATAAGCATATGCATTGAACAACCCTCTCAAGCTTGGAAGCGTCGCACTGGATAACCGTCTTGCTCTTCACATGACTGTATGAAAATCGTGCAAGAATTCGGCCCCAAGTCGGGCGTGCATATAAATCTCCCATTTCCATGCATGCGATTGCACATTTGGAACCGAACACGAGCAAAGTTTCACAGGGTTGAATTGATGAGAACCAGCCCATGCTCTCACAAGATCGCGGCCCCACCTTGGGCTCTTCCTCGGTAGCACAGGGACCCTGTGCATACCACATCCAAAGGCGGCAGACGCAATCGCCAGGTTGTTGTGTGCTTCAAGATGATGAGGTTTCATTTTTCCCCGTGTGCGTTTCCAACCCTGTTGTTTGGAACATGCGATTGTCTGGACAGATGACAATATCAGTTGCATCATTAAGTAACAAGGCAACAGGAGTTAGATACGAGACGAAGCTGGAGATGTGAGGGGAACGCCAATTTCAGGCCCAAAAGAAGTTCATCGTTAGGAAGGCGCCAAGGCAAAGAAGACAGGGAACAGCTCATAAGTACTTGCAAGTGGGCTAGAAAGAGATCTGAGCTTTCGACATCCCGCCAACAGTCAAGCGGGATGGAAGGATGCCAGAAGGCCAGACGAAAAGGAAGATGGTCAGGAAAGAGGGTTGAGATCAGGATAAGGTCGACAAACAGGTTCAGAGGTCAGAAAGCAGGTGCGGGGTCAGCGAAACAGGTTCAGGAGTCAGAAAAACAGGTTCAGTGGTGAGAGAAACAGGCTAAGTCATTAAGGGGTCAAAAAAACGAGGGGTCAGGAAACACATATTGCGGGTTAAAGAAAAGGGATAACCTTCCCGAAAGCCCTAGCCCTATACCTTGAACCACTAGGGTAGACCCATCAAGTCCGAAGTCCCGAGCCCGAGTCACGTTGATATTCATGACGGCTTGTGACAATGATGCGTCGAGGCCGAGCACCTGTTCCGATGACGGCGACCTTGTCTGGGCCACAGCACTCCCTGCAAGATCTTAGTCTAGGAGCTCTTCGGCCCGTGAGTAGATGAGGAATGAGAGCCGGCCCTACCTTGTGGTTGCCATCTGTGACGGTCCGGATCTGAGATCTGCCGCGAACGCTGGGTTCTTGCTTTGGAATTTAGTTCAAGATACTGTGTATAATCTGGATATGTAGTAAAAGGACCAGCTAATCTTTATGATGGTATGTGAACCTCGTGTCCTTAGCAAGACCCCAGAAAGTGCTTGGTCGAGATTTCATCCATGCCAGCTCCGAGCACCGAGGGCTTGGGCGACGTCCGCCAGCGCGAGTGGCCAAAAGCATTTGGCCTGAAACCAAGGGGAACTTCCACGGGTTCGCTCACCGGTTTCAACTGTCGTTGTTTTACTGTCATGTGGCTCTCATCATGATGATGTTGATGGTTATGGCTATGACGTGATAGCGTCGTTCTTATCAGCTCCGCTCCGATGAGGTGGACACCTGCTTGGTCAGTCCCGGCCTCGAGGAAGAGAGTAAACCGCCTCGGCGCAGCAGCGCGAAAGTTGCCTTGGGCCTTTGCTGAGGTCTCCTGGGAGATGCCAAGCCACAAGCACTCGGCCCCGTCCCTGGAGCGTCGTTTTTTGGGGCATAGGGCCTTCGAGAAAACCTTCGACCACTCTGTGACCCCAAATCCGAATCCCATATTCCTCACGACCGCCTGAAAATCCAGACAGATCCTGGAATCCACGTCCCAGGCCCTCGAATCAATTGTAAAACCTGAATCCTAAAGCCTCACGCGGGCGATGCGAGGTCTCTCCACGAGTCGGCCTGAAAGTCGCCCTTCCTGACCTACCGCTGCTCGAAATGGAGGCCACAGCACGGGGTTCCAATCATCCAAGGGTCCCACGAAGCAGGGTTTACATTAGCAGGTCCCGACTCTCTTGTCGGTTCCGTTTGCACAGGATATTGGGGTTTTGAAGGTCGTGTTTGTGGGGAGGGGAACGGCACGATTTGGGGTTTATTAGTAAGGAATAGGGTCAAAGGAATCGGATTTCGGCGTTCAGGGTGATATTTGTTTGCATCATTTATTTGAGTGTTGCTTGTCAGATATCATGCAGTAGGGTTTCGGGATTATCCGGGTTGCAAGGGTTTAGCTTTATGTCGAGGGGCGATGGCACTATACCAACATGAAGCCTTGGAGGTTCATGAGGGCTTTTGTGTTCTGTTCCGTGCGACTGCAACTGTCATGTTCCAGGACGATGAGGCAGGCAAGCGTCCCAAGGCGCATCTGTTGGTGTTGTGACTTTTTGCCACGGTTGTTGGAGAGGGCATCTATGCAAGGTGCCGTCGGATCGTTTGCAGGAACGTCATTTAACATCATTATTCAGGAGTGGGCAGAGTGAGCCGTGCGGTCTTCTCCTTGCCAGGTGTGGTTAGAGACGCCTCTGCAAGTGGACCATGCAGAGCAGTACGGAGGTTTGACTTTCTCGATTGCAGTCTGGGCCTCAGACAGCACGCGAGAGATTTTGGCTGCTCTCATCATTTTCAGGGAGCCCTACAGCCGGAACCCTGCCCTCCCGTTCGCTGTGCTGCTCAGGCAGAAACGGAGAGTTCCTCTGTACACCTTGTCGGGCAGCCGGC